GTACAGCCAACTGATCTGTGGCAAAGATGCAAAGACGATTTAAAGAAAGAAAGATGTCCTTTCAAGAGATGGTGCTGGAGCCAATGACAACAGGGAAAAAATAAAGAACTTTCACCTTAACATCACACTTTACACAAAAATTAACTCAAAATGGATCACAGACTTAAATGCAGAACATAAAACTATAAAAACTTAGAAGAAAGCAGTAAAACCCTCAGACTAAGGGCATGGTGAAGAGTTCTTAAATATGAAAGAACAGTCCATCAGAGAAATAAAATCAATAAATTGGAAAATTTCAACCTTTCACTCTGTGAAAGACCTGATGGAGAGGATGGGTGAAAAAGCAAATCATCTCTGGTCAAGAATGTTTGCAAGCCACCTATCTGACAAGAACTTGTATCTAGAATATAGAAATAACTCATAAAACTCAATGGTAAAACCCAAATAATCCAATTATAAATGGACAAAAGACATGAAAAGGGATTTTGGTAAAGAAGATATACAAAGAGCAAATAAACAATGAAAAATACCTTCAACATCTTGAGCAGTTAGGGAAATGCAAATTAAGACCAGGGTGAGCTACCAGGACATACTTATTAGAACAGCTAAGATTAAAAATAGTGACTTCCCCAATGCTTTCTGAATTTTGGCCCATTAATTCTCTATTACCTTTTTTCTTTTGATGCCTTCTGACAAATTAATAAAAAATCTCTTCCCCTTTCTTCTGCCAGATTTTATTCCAATTCACTATTTTATTATTGCTGGAAGTGGAAGTATGCAAAACATTCTTTATTTTGTCCATTGTATTTTAACATTTTCCTATTGTTAGATCTCAAAACTTCACCTGAGCGCCGCCTGTGGCTCAGTGAGTAGGGCGCTGGCCCCATATACCGAGGGTGGCAGGTTCAAACCAGGCCCTGGTCAAACTGCAACAAAAAAATAGCCAGGCGTTGTGGTGGGCGCTTGTCGGGAGGCTGAGGCAAGGTTACTTGGGAGGCTGAGGCAAGAGAATTGCCTAAGCCCAAGAGCTGGAGGTTGCTGTGAGCTGTGATGCCACAGCACTCTATGGAGGGCAACAAAGTGAGACTCTGTCTCTAAAAAAAATAAAAATAAAAATAAAAATAAAAACTTTACCTATTATAAAATTGATAAATTGATTCTCTTTAATTTATAGACGATATTATATTTTTAAAAACATTTCCTTTTGCGGGGTTGTTAGGTAATGAGTCACATGGTCTAAAACAATAACAAAAACAAGCCTGGAAATGACTGAAATGGCCCTCAACAGGTGAATAGTTAAATAATAAACTAGTACATCTGTACCATGGAATAGCATTCAGAATTCAAAGGGACGAACTACTAATAGACAGGACTGGGATGGATCTCAAGTTCAGTTGATTGATCTTTTCTTCATTTGAGTTGCTATTTGGTTATCCCGGTTCTCAGTATGATAAGTAATTTTTGATGGAGCCTGGACATTTTTGATACTATGCAATGTTAGAGATTTGTTCCTGTTTATTTTTCTTAAAGGGTAAGAAGCATTTATTGTTTTTGTTAATTTTCAACATGTACACCATCATTACCACTACAAAGGGTGATACGATTCTGTAGTTCTCGGAAAACATTTTCAAGCTGATTTTCAGTAATACCAGTAATCACATCTGTTATCCTAGCTTTCAAGTCTTCTAAAGATAGAGGTTTGGTAGAATAAATATTAGCTATATTATTATAAATAATAGCTTTCACATGTCCCCATAAAAAGAAACCCAATGGAGTTCAATCTGGCAAACGTAGAGGCCAGGAAAGTGGTCCACCTTTTCCAATCCACCTGTTAGGGAATTTCTCACGTAGACACTGTCTAACATGCAAAACAAAGCATCAAGGAGCGTCATCTTGTTAAAACGCTGTATTCTCTGTCAGTCCCAATTCTTCAAGCTGATGAATAAAGTTATTTTGCAGCATTTCTAAATAGCTATCCCCATCAACAACACCCCCTTCTAAAAAGAAGGGCCCTACGACTCGATTTTTGCCCAAAGCATACCATGCATTAACTTTGGGCGAATCTCTTTCATGTTCAACAGACTTATGTGGATTTTCAGTTCCCCAAATATGACAATTATGCCTATTGACCTTGCCACGAAGGTGGAATGTTGCTTCATCGGAGAACAGTATATTACTCAAAAATGCATCATCACTCCCAAGTTGTTCATTGAACTGGTGACAGCAAGTTAGTCATGCATAATCCTCTTCCAACATTTGATGCACTTGAATTTTGTACATTTTCATGTGAAGTCTTGTCCGCAGAATCTTGAGCACAGTAGACTTTGGAGGCCTCAGCTCTAGGGATACCTGTCTTTTTTTTTTTTTTTTTTTTTTTTGAGACAGAGCCTCAAGCTGTCCCCCTGGGTAGAGTGTCGTGGCATCACAGCTCACAGCAACCTCCAACTCCTGGGCTCAAGCGAGTCTCCTGCCTCCGCCCCCCAAGTAGCTGGGACCACAGGCGCCGGCCACAACGCCCGGCTATTTTTTGGTTGCAGCCGTCATTGTTGTTTGGCGGGTCTGGGCTGGGGATTCGAACCCACCACCTTAGGTGTACGTGGCTGGCGCCTTAGCCGGTTGAGCTATAGGCGCTGAGCCGGGGTACCTGTCTTAATGACCTTCTTGGGCTTGCCTCAAAGGTTTCTTCTACCGATGCTGCAGGTCCTTCATTACCACACGGCCTACCAGACTGTGGCTTATCACTGACAGAACCTGTTCCTTTAAATTTTTTCCTCCACTTAGATATGGAATTTCTGTGTGGTGCTTCTTTCTTCTAATGGGTTCGGCAGAAGCAGATTTTAGTTTAACCAACCAAAGAACACAATTTTCTTTCCTCAGGTCAACAGTGATTAAAGGCAAACTATTTCAAATTGCACACGAACTTTAGGGACACCCTGTACAGTTCCTTCCCCAGGCTTTACTGGCATCATTAGCAAATTCTGTAAAACAAGACATTACTCTATCAATAAATAAACTGAAGATGAGTTAAGATCAAGCTCAGGTGCTCTAAAAGGGGGCTTCCTGCATGGTTTGTCTCCCCAGTCATTGTCCACAGGACTCTGGGAAGTGTCGGAATGTGCAGGGGCAGACTCAAGGCCCAGCTTCATCTCCAGTGTTGTGGAAAGGGACTGTATATCATGGGGCAAAGCCCTATGCTCCCCTACACCACTTGGAGAGAGCCTGGGTAGAGAGCTCTAGGGTATCCACGTTGGATGTTTATTTTTTTATTTTTTGAGACAGAGTCTCACTATGTTGCCTTCAGTAGAGTGCTGAAGGTCACAGCTCACAGCAACCTAGAACTCTTAGGGTTAAGCGATTCTCTTGACTCAGCCTCCCAAGTAGCTGGGACTACAGGTGCCCACCACCATGCCTGGATATATATTTTTTTTTTTGTAGTTGTCATTGTTGTTTAGCTGGCCCAGGCCGAGTTCGAACCCACCAGCCCTGGTGTATGTAGCCGGTGCCCTAATCACTGAGCTACAGGCACCGAGCCTCTGTTCCTGTTTAAATGATCTTTGTAAGTGTACCTCTTCTGACACTGCTCCAGGAATGCCATGTGGGGATGGGGTCTAGGGTTTTCCCTTGACCTGGACTGAGACGGGCAAGGGCTCCTCATTTCTGTGTGGCCGGGTGAGAGTCTTGACTCTCCACTAGTCCTCCTCTGTACTACCTGATGGAGTGATGCCTTTTTCCTGCCAGGTAGGAAAAGTTGAGGCTGCCCCTTGGGTTTTTCTGGTGTCACCCTGGGAAGTTACACCTTCTTATAGCTTGGACAGGGCAGAAATCTAAGTTCTCAACTCAGCCATTTTGGTAGAGGTGAGTGGGGCTGTAGTTTTGTCTCTGGCTTTTGACTGAAAACAGAGTGGTTATTGTCTAAAATGTTTTGTCTTGCTTGGCTACCCCCTTCCTGGTCCTTTGACTAGAGGGAACAGACTTTTTATTTTTGAGACAGAGTCTCACTATGTTGCCTTGGGTAGAGTGCCGTGGCGTCACAGCTCATAGCAACCTCAAACTCTTGGGCTTAAGTGATTCTCTTGCCTCAGCCTCCCAAGCAGCTGGGACTACAGGCACCTGCTACAATGCCTGCTTGTTGTCGTTGTTGTACTTATCATTATTGTTTTAGCAGGCCTGAGTCGGGGTCGAACCCACTAGCCTTGGTGTATGTGGCAGGCACCCTACCCACTGAGCTATTGGTGCCGAGCAGAGGGAACAGATTTTTCTTGGGACCTTTTTTTCATGTTTCCAAATTGCCAGGTTTGAATTTGAGGTTGCTGTGAGGTATGACACCACAGCACTCTATCCAAGGTGACAGAGTGAGATTCTGTTTCAAAAAAAAAAAAAAAATCAAAAACAAATGAAAAAAACCCGAGAAACAAATTGCCAGCTTCTCCATCACAAGTCTGAGATACATGAGGCAAAAAGAAAACCCAGGAAATTTACGGCTGTGTCAATCCTCGGGTCCTGGTCCCTGCTGGGTTTGCCTTCTTATTTCTTACTTCACCTTTCAGAGTATTCTTGCATTTATGTGTATTGCCCAGGGTTTTAAACTGGACTTAGAGAAAATCCATTTACTCTATTTTTTTTTTTTTTTTTAGAGACAGAGTCTCACTTTGTCACCCTTGGTAGAGTGCCGTGGCCTCACAGCTCACAGCAACCTCCAGCTCTTGGGCTCAGGTGATTCTCTTGTCTCAGCCTCCCGAGTAGCTGGGACTACAGGTGCCCGCCCTAATGCCTGGCTATTTTTGGTTGCAGCTTGTCGGTGGCCGGGATTGAACCCGCCACCCTCGGTATATGGGGCCGGCGCCCTACTCACTGAGCCACAGGCGCCACCCCCCTTTACTCTATTTTTCTGGGAGTGAAAGTCACTATCACCCTTGAAGTTTTTGCCATGCTCCTTGACTCATCATATCTATGCCACTAAGTAGAAATTAATTATTTGTGGGTATTTTGTTTTTAACCAGGCAGCCGTCACGCCTCTCGATGCATGGGTAACAGTGGAATCTGTAGAAAAACTTGCAGGAAGAGTGAAAAGCCCTACTTCTATTGCAGAGATAACCAACCATGCTGCCTCCAGGCCTACATGAGGATAAGCGTTTCTGGCGTGGAAGAAAATTATGACTGGGCCTCTGAGAAACGCTGGCCAAGAATACCTTGAGTGCTGGTGATCACCATTCTCAAGCTCTCTGGGAACCCAGACCTTCTGTCAAGCCCCCTGATTAAAATTTGCATACCTGCTACCCTTGTCTGTCTTTCATCCACTGGAAATCACAGCAAGAGATTAGATTTTGGGTGGTACCATCTCTGTCCCATTCTGGACTCACCTTTGCGGGAGAAAAGGCTGGAAAACTGGAGTGACAATTAGGGAGGAGTGAGGCAAACCAGTGAGGATGGACAGAGTCCAGTGAGGGAGGGTTGAAGGTTTAGGCCAGGTTATGACTTATCTGTGCCATTTGAGTTAGAGGGGGGACCAGAACCAGGGGGATGGGCGCCTAGGGGGCCAGGTGGAGGTCTTGGAGACAGAGCTGTCTTAGTCCATGGGAAAACTTCCATGGAAGAACCAACTGGACTGTTGTAATATGGAATAAGTTGTCTTGATTTCGTGTTGTGAGACTGAGCGGTCTGTTTGGTGGTTCACATTGCAGAAGGAATTTGAACGTACTATGCTGTTGTTCTCGATTAAGGTCCTTTAAATCCTGAAAACCTAGGAGGCTTATGCCACCAATTACTAACGATGTTAGCTTTTTTAATGTAAAATTTTAATTTTACGTTTTATGTCTTACCTCCACTACTATTTTATTTCTTTTCTCTGGCAAGTGGAAACTGCAGGAAGAGGTGGCTTAGATGCCCATAGTACCCATTTCTATTTTATTGCCTCTCCTTCATCACACACTAGTGGTGTCATGAGGAATTACTGTGGTTCGTTAACAAAGGAGGAAAAAGCCAGGCCAGATCTGTGGTGTGGGCTGCGTGACATGCTAGCACCAGGCAGAAGTGCTGCACTATAGCCTGATGGAGAGCTGGCCCTGAAAGCGGAATCCTTCCAGCAGGGGGATGGGCTTAGCAGGGATCTATAGTAATTCATGGACAGCGGTAATGGGTTGGGTGGTTATTGGGGCACTTCGAGAGAACGAGATTAGAAGATTTGTAACAATGAAGTAGAGTTTTGTGGATGGGTCTCTCTAAAAGGAGACAGAGCCTGAAGATATTTTTATGCTCGCAGAGGGAGACAAATAAAGCTCTCAGTAATCAAGTGGACAAATGACATCCTTTTGCTCACAATGAGGGGCCATCCCTGCCCTTGCATGTCCCTGTGTGATCAAGGCTTGGTCAAAGAAATGGGCCGACAGAGCCAGCTTTCCAATAGCTTCTCTTCTAATTCTAAAGCAACTGGGGGAAAAATGAGTCCCCATAGCTCACAACCGGGGTGGCCAATTTCCTATGATCAGAAATAAAATAGGGCTTCAGGGCCAGAGTGAGTAGGAAAATGAATGCTTTCACCCGAGGTGTCTACTGTTCTATAAAGCAGGTCTTCAGTGTCTTAGTAGTTACTCTCACAGATGCAAAGACTTAGAGTTTTGATATCGACTACTTATGCTACCATTAAGGGGCAGGACTGACATAACAGATGCCTTTGGTGACCCAAGATACCTGCTGGGAAGACAAGAGGACACGTGAAAAGGTTGGTGTCAGAACATTTAACCAAGAGATCAAGGCTGTGCATAGGTCACCAGCAAATGAGAAACACTAAAAATGGGTTAAAACTTGTCATGGAAATAATTTGACATTTCAAGAAGAGCGCTGAAGAATTAATTTATCACAGGAAAGAGTGAAAATCTTAGATTTCTTTTCACTGTTGTTTCTATCTAGAATTACACATGGGTGTGGGGAGGGTTCACCGGGGTGTTCTCAGTGCTTTCTCTATATGATTTCGTTGACCGTGGGATTCAGGGTGAGATCCGAGAGAACGTCCTGAGCCTCAGGCGAGATCTGCATTCCAGGTACCACCTCAAAATCATTAATCGTGACTTTACTGCTTTTCTCATCAAAGTAGTATGTAGTGGATGGTATTGTTAAAATTACATCAAAAAGTATTGATGTTGAATCATATGAGGGGGTGGGAGTTGTCTTAGGAACTTGCCACTGGCTCTTATTGCCTGGAATGCAGCAGATGCGACGGCTGTTACACATTTCTTTGATTACTTCTCCATCTTCGCATTTTTTCCTGCAGTTACCTGCTTTGTTCCAGCATTTTTTTCCACCACCATAGTCTGGGTAACAAAAGGAAAGAGCGCTGATTTCAGGTTACTGATGCTCTCAATTTTACTAGCATGACTATTTATCTGCCATCCTGTAACAACCCTGTGGGAACAAGTAGACTATGGCTGCACGTTTCCTGCCTCCTGGTAGATACCCTGTTGCTAAAAAGGTCAGTTTCCAACCTTCCACCTGGCCATTTTGAACTTTTCTAAAAGTGAGATGAATATTACCATCAAAGCTATAGCCCAAGAATATGGGGAAAGGGGAGAGGGAGGAGAGGGGAGGGGGAAGGATGGGTGGAGGGAGGGTGATTGGTGGGACCACACCCATGGTCCATCTTACAAGGGTACATGTGAATCTTTCTAAATGTAGACTATAAATGTCTTAACACAATAACTAAGAAAATGCCATGAAGGCTATGTTAACCAGTTTGGTGAAAATACTTCAAATTGTATATAAAACCAGCACACTGTTAAACACAATTAGAATAAAAACTCTTATATTTGGAAACTAAATGATAAATATTAAACTTAGATAAGAAGGGTAGTAATAAAAAGTCAGAAATAATGAAGCCGGAAGTCATGAAATCAGAACACTTCTAGAAAGAATGATTAAGAAAAAAAAGAGGATAATAAAAATAAACAAACTCCATAGTGAAATAGTGACCTCTCCCTCTGCTCCCCCCAATCTAGCATATTAAAAATAACATAGAACCATCAACAACTGTTTACCAATACATAAAATCAAAAACCTGGGTGAAATGGTTAAATTCCTAAAAACAACTCTAGGGATGGCGTCGGAAGAAAATACGAACTTAAATAACTCCGTCAGTGTTAAGAAATTGAAATAGCAGTGGAACACCCTTCTCCCCAAAGGCTTTAGCCCTGGATAATTTTTTTAAATTGTGGTAAAATACACACAACGGAAAACATGCCATCTGAACCATTTAAAGTGTATAATTCAGAGGTATCAAGCACATTCATATTGTTATGCTACCATCACTAGCCCTCATACACAGAATACCTTCATCTTGCAAAACCGAAACTCTGCACCTGTTAAACAGTAAATCCCCATTTCCTTCTCCTCACAGCGCTGGCAACCACCATTGTATTTTCTATTTCTATAAATCTGCCTACTTGAAGTCCCTACCTTATCCGGGTGTACTCATACAGTGTTTTTTGTTTTGTGGTGGCTTATTTCACTTAGTATAATGTCTTCAAGGTTCAACCACATTTTAGCGTGCGTCAGAATTTCCTTCCTTTTTAGGGATGACTAATACTTCATTGTATGCATATGCCACATTTTCTTTTATTCATTCATCCACGGATGAATGTTTGGGTTGCTTCTACCTTTTGGCTACTGTGAATCATATTGTTCTCTTGGAACATTTTATTTATTTATTTATTTACTTATTTAATTACTATTGAGACAGAGTCTCACTCTGTCACCTTGGCTAGAGTGCCATGGCATCAGCCTAGCTCACAGCAACTTCAAACTTCTGGGTTCAAGGGGTCCTACTGCCCCAGCCTCCTGAGTAGCTGGAACCACAGTAACTGCTACAATACCTGGCTATTTTTTTTTTTTTTTCTATTTTTAGTAGAGACAGAGTCTTGCTCTTGCTCAGGCTGGTCTCCAACTCCTAAGTTCAAGGGATCTTCCTGAGTTGGTCTCCCAGAGTGCCAGGATTACAGGTGTGAGTGCCCAGGCCTATCTTACAATATTTAAAAGATGGGCTCTACTAATTTCACAGAAGATTTAAGTGACATTTTATATAACATGTTATAGAAAATATAAGAAGAAAAAAAGAAAGCTACTTGGCTTATTTTATAAGAGTGGTGTAATTTTCTTTATAAATACAGATGTGAATGTATCCTAAGTAAAATATTAGCCAACTAAATTCAACAATGTATTAAAATACATCATGATCAAGTAGAGTTTAACCTCAAGTGCAAAAAATCATCCAAAATTAGAAAATCTATCAGTGAAATTTACCACCTTTACAGAACTAAGGAGACAAATCATAGAATTATCTTACTGTAAGAAAAACCATGATTTGGTAAAGTTCATTGCTTATTTTTCATGAAAACTCCAGGAAAAGCAGGAACAGAAGGGAATTTTCTCAATTTAGTGAAGGTCATGTATCAAATTACAGAGCTAGCATTATCTGATGAAGAAACTCTAATTTCCACTGAGATGGGGAAAACAATGATACTCCCTGTTATTGTGATTATCTAAAATAATGGTGGAGAGCTGGGCACAGTGACTTATGCTTATAATTCCAGCTACTTGGGAGGCTGAAGTGGGAGGATCTCCTGATGCCAAGAGTTCAAGACTGGCCTAGGCAACATAGTGAGATCCTATCTCTAAAAAAGTAAAAAATAATAGTGGAGGATCTGGCCAATGTTAAAAGAAAACAAAAACAAAAACAAAACTGAAGTGTAAGGATTAGAAGAAAAAGATAAAATTGCCTTTCATTCTAGCAATCAATGATTATATATATGAAACAGAATTCTTAAACTGTCATAATTAGTAGGAGTTCAGTAGCTATGTCAGAGGGGATATGAACTTACAGGAATCAATAGCACTTTTCAACATCAATAATAACTAATTAGAGGCCAGGCACCATGGCTCACGCCTGTAATCCTAGCACACAGGGAGGCTGAGGAGGGTGGATTGCTTGAGCTATAGAGTTCGAGACCAGCCTGAGCAAGAGTGAGACCCCGTCTCTGAAAATAGCTGGGCATTGTGGCTGATATCTATAATTCCAGGTACTTGGGAGGCTGAGGCAAGAGGATCGCTTGAACCTAGGAGTTTGAGGTTGCTATGAGCTGTGATGCCACAGCGCTCTACTGAGGGTGACAAAGTGAGACTCTGTCTCAAAAAATATATACATAATAACTAATCAGAAAATATAATAAAATAGGTGGCACACCTATGAACCATCTTGTTTTAAACTAAAAATACACAAGACTTCTATAAGGGGTATATTTTAGATGTGATCTTGAATGGGATGACTTAAGCTTTATAAAGATTAACTGTACCCTAAATTAATCGACAAATTTAATTTAATTCTAATCAAGATTTCAGTGGAAGTTTTGAGATACTTGATTATTTTACTTAAAACTTTATAATAAAGAATAAATCCAGGTGTGGTGGTTCATGCCTATAATCCTAGCACTTTGGGAGGTTGAGGCAGGAGGATTGCTTGAGGTCAGGAGTTTGAGATCAGCCTGGGAAATACAGCAAGACTCTGTCTCTAAAACAAAGAAAAAAAGAAAAGAAAAGAAAAAGAAAGAAAATTTAACTAGATGTGGTGGTGTCCCAACTACTTGGGAGCCTGAAGTGGAAGGATCACTTGAGTAAGGAGTTGGAGGCTGCAGTGAGCTATGATCTTGCCACTGCACTCCAACCTGGGTGACAGTGTGAGACTCCTGTATATATAAAAAAAAAAAAAATTAAAGAGGGCGGTGCCTGTGGCTCAGTGGGTAGGGCACCAGCCCCATATACTGAGGGTGGCAGGTTCAAACCCGGCCTCGGCTAGCTAAAACAGCAGTGGCCACTGCAACCAAAGATAGCCAGTGTTGTGCCAGGCACCTGTAGTCCCAGCTACTTGGCAGGCTGAGGCAAGAGAATTGCTCAAGTCCAAGAGTTGGAGGTTGCTGTGAGCTATGATGCCACAATACTCTACTGAGGGTGACAGAGTGAGACTCTGTCTCAAAAAAAAAAAAAAAAATTAAAGACCACTGATAGCTAAGACTACTTTTTGAAAAAGCAGGACAAAGCTGGCTCTTATAGACTCTGACAAAGCCCTGGTGATATGAGAAATATGGTATTGTGACAAGAAGAAACAGACCAAGACAGCAGAATAAGGAACTCAGATATATGCAGTGACAATGAAACTACAAATCCACAGGGACAGCACAGATTGTTTACCATGTTGTGCTGGGAAAATGGATCACTCCATAGGAAAAATAAAATACATCTATGTCACATCTGGTGACTCAAAGGTTTAAATGTGAAAAGCAAAACTAAAAAGTTATTAGAAGATAACCTCAAAAATTCTATATCTGCATCTTTAATACTCTACTTCAATAATAATACACTTAATTTAAATAGTATTTACTTTGAAGTAAAATGAGAAGAATTAAAATGATCATCTTTTCATTAAAAAGAAAAAAAAGATAACCTCAGAGAAACCCTTTAGAATGTAAGAATGGGGATGGACTTCTTTAACCAAACCACCAAGCACAATGCACAAGGCAAAAAATTGTTGACTTTGGTTATCAAAATTATATTTCTGTTTAACAAAAGTATGTCCTAGGCAAATTTCATAGACAGGAAGATGACAGATTGGGAGATAATATTCCCAGTGACCAAAGCTAACTAGGGAACAATATAAAAAAATAAAGAACTCCTGTACATCAAGAAGAACTCACAGTTGCTCATTAGAATAATGGAACACTGGGCAAAGGATATAGACAGGCAATTAACAGTCACTTGTTTATTCATTCAAGAAATGTTTGTTGAGTACCTACTGTATACCAGGCACTGATCAAGATGCAAGAGTTTGCGTTCATTAAAAATTAGATTAAACTTTCTGTTCTCGTAGAGAGTTCAGTCTTTTGGGGAGATAATGAATAAGTCAGGGAGTAAGAGAAGAAAGTAAATGGAGATAAATGAAGCAGGGAAGAGGAATATGAAGCATGTGAGGGCCAAGTAAAGACTGTATTGAGGGCTCGGCACCTGTGGCTCAATCGGCTAAGGCGCCAGCCACATACACCTAAGGTGGCGGGTTCGAATCCCCAGCCCGGGCCCGCCAAACAACAATGATGGCTGCAACCAAAAAATGGCCAAGCTTTGCGGCGGGCGCCTGTAGTCCCAGCTACTTGGGAGGCAGAGGCAGGAGACTCGCTTGAGCCCGGGAGTTGGAGTTTGTTGTGAGCTGTAATGCCATGGCACTCTACCCAGGGGGATAGCTTGAGGCTCCATCTCAAAAAAAAAAGACTGTATTGAGAAGGAAGCGAGAGGGTGAGCTATGAGACTAACTGTGGGAAGAGTGCACCAAGCAGACAAGCAGCAAGGGCAAAGATCTATCTCAAAGTTTTTGAATAACAATAAGGTGACTATGATGAGTGTAGAATAAGTTAAATGGAGTCATCAGAGTTCAAATTGTTATTTGAATAACAATAAGGTGACTATGGTGTTCAGAACTCAAGAGTTGGAGGTTGCTGTGAGCTATGATGCCACAATACTCTACTGAGGGTGACAGAGTCAGACTCTGTCATCTCCAACTCTACGGTGTATCAGAGTTCAATTGTTATTTGAATAACAATGAGATGACTATGGTGAGTGTAGAATAAGTTAAATGGAGAGTCATCAGAGAATATATAATAGAGGCTGAGATCACATAGAGTCTTGAAGCCGTTGGGAGGAAGCCATTTACACATTGTGATTACAGGATAATAAAAGAAATACAGATTAAAACAGCAGTGTGAGATTGTACCCAGCACATTGTTAAAAATAATGCTGCAGTGCTGGTGAGAGAGTATAGATATCTCCCTGTCCCTATAAATGTCACTGATTTTTATTCTTCTTCCTTAAATGTAAGGGTTGTCCAAAATAAAGCATACAAACATTAGGCTTTTTTCATTGTCTCAATTCTTCCCTCTAATTTACATATCTTACCAGAATATTCAGACTTGAAAACCCAGAACACATCGATATTTCCTTCATTCCCCACATGCTGAATTTCAATGACCCATGGATCTTGCTTACAAAATCTTTCACTTTGGTCTCTTTCCTAGTCTCAATATCTCCCCTAGAACTTGAAGCAGACACAACTGGTTCCATGTGGATTATACAGAATTGTTCCTGATTGTGTCTGGAATTGCAACTGGAGTATTACTCAAAATCCTGAAAGCTGGCAGTGTCCTGAAAGATACATAGGGAGGAATTAATAGAATAAATAATTTTAGACATACCTTTAATCTGGTCGTTTGATTTCTAAGAATCTGTCCCATTTAAATTGGTGTCCAAATATGTAAAAATGGTTGTACCAGTATGGTCACTGATATGTTGTTAGAGAATTAGAAAAATGTCCCAAGTGACTATATCCAAATTATGGTTTATGTTACAATAGAACTATACAACTTCACAAGGAATGATGCAGCTCTTTAGATGGTGACATGGAAAGGTGGCCACAAAATATTAGGTGAGAAAAGAAGGCTGCATAACTATGCATCTACTGTGTTTATTTTATAAAAACAGAAATATTCAGATTTGCTTTATGTGAGTTTGATCATATATTGATATGCATCCTTAAAGTTATACAACAAAGGAGAAAATAGGTTCTCTCTGGCAGCAGTTTCAAGGTTCTGATCATGACTTTATGCAAACTAATTGAAAAAACAGTGATTATTAAAAGCTTAGGCTGTCATCATAGAAGGGAGAAGGAAAGTTAGCTTTATCTCTCATACAATGGCTTTGCAGATATTTTCTTTTTCTTTTTTTAAAACAGGGTCTTGTTTTGTTGCCTGGGCTACAGGGTAGTGGTGTCGTTATAGCTCACTGCAACCTCAAACTCCTGGGCTCAACCCTGTACTACTTTTTCTAAGTTTTTTGTAGAAATAGGGTCTCAGGCTGATCTTGAACTCTTGGCCTCAAGCAATCCTCCCACCTTGGCCTCTCAAAGGGCTAGGATTATAGGCGTGAACCACTGCACCTGGCCTCTGCAGGTATTTTCTGACCTATTCACTGAATTCTAGAATATTAGAAAACAAAAAGAATTTCATTTACAGCTAGAACAGGACTTTTAGGGCCAAGAAATCACTGGGAAGTGGGTTTAGGAATCATTTTGAAGTGCTGGTGGAGCTGGAAAGGGAGCTGAAGTGAATCCAGCTTTTATCAAGTCCCTTAGGTGGCAACGTGGATTATAGAACCAAGTTGGAATTGCCCCTGTCTGTTGAGGATAACTTGTCTACCCTTGGATCTCACCACCCCTACCAGGGACATAGCCCCAGTATGGGAGCTGTGGAGCTGCTCAGGTTGGGGGTACAGAGACACATTAGAATTTTCATGAGCTGGAGCTCATTGTGCCCCCATTTTTGTAGCTTCCCTGGGTTCTCATTACCTGGAATCACTTGGGGTAGGAGTGCAAGTGTAGGAAGAGCCAGAAGCAGGAGTCTCATAGTCCTCGGGAAATAAGAGGAGGTACAGCCAGGAGCTCGGAACACTGTGTGCAGTGTGACTCTGAACAGGAGTTTTATTGGGCTCTCTGCGGTGGGGGAAGGGGGATGGGCACTGAAGCAGACAAACATGTAAAAGCTTACCCATGCGAAACTTCATTCTGTTGGCTGATGCACTGATTGAGCATCTGACAAGGCACAGGGAGAGCACACAGAGGGTTATGTCACAGGCTTTGAGCAGGTGTTTGGAGTTATGGAGAGGGAGGACTCACACCAGGCCATCTTCCCGGGCTTCCCCAGACCTCTTGTCAGGATCCAGTCCTCCCTCCCAGACCCTCTCACTCTAGCATAAGCCTTAGGTAGGGAGGCTTATGTGAACTCATGAACTACCTCTGTACCTGCTCTCTGTATGCTAGACAGTGAAATTCCTGAGAGTAGCAGCAGTGTCTTTCATTTTTGAACCTCCAAGGGACAAAATGTGTTCTCAGTGAAGGTTTGTGAAACTAAAAGATAACAAATGCATGACCATCTATAGGCCGCATACTTACATATGTGCCACCAAGGAAAATGATTGCCCAAAACAATGGAAGTGACTTGCCATAGAGTTTGTGGGAGATCATTTATATTATAAGATTCAAAGGAGGGTGCTACCCAGTGTTCTCAAAAAATGCTTCCTAAGCCCCTGAGGTAGATGTACAATAACTTAAGACGTTACTTTTGACGAGAGAATAATAGGGGCCATGGGAGGTCTACATGTTGTCTGTGAAGACCTCAGCATTTAGATCTGTCTTTGGGATGTGGAACCTCGATCTCACCCCTGGACTCAGCTTAGGTTCTGCTTTGCTGTAGTTGCTTTTCACCCTCTTTCAACCCTTGCTCCCTCCTGTTTGCTTGGCTCTAAAGGTCCCCGTAAAGATTTAGAGGAGGTTGTTGATGTTCCTTTTCTGGAGTTGATGGCCTCAGCTGTGAGAATAGTTTGCCTATAGGAATTAGCAGGGAGGTCAGGTCATACACTTAGGGAGACTATTCTCTTCTGGATGGAACCCTATGGAAAGCCTAGGAGGGTGGTAGACGATTTCCAAAGTTAATTTTAGATTAATATGTATGTTCTAACAGGCTGAACTCCTTTACTATGAAATGGCTACCTAGAGAGGCAGAGGGAGATCTGCAAATGATTTTTAAAGCTGGGGCTAAGTGATGTAAAAGGAGGGAAATCTACATAAATTGAAGAATGTCTTTTCTAATTCCTTCCAAGCATAATGATCCACGTTTTTCATTTTATGAATGGTTCCTATCCATGTCCTGTTGATGACAGAGATCCCTGGCCAATTCTGAACTAAATAACTTGAGAAAAAAAATTTTTTTTATGCTACAGAAAAGCAGGAAAAGCTGGATTACCTCTACTCCAATTCATAGAAGTTGGCCTCACATCTGAGATGGTGGTGGTAGTGGGATTGGAGATGAGTTGTTTATTAAAAATGTATCCTGAAGGGAGAGGGCTTGTTATAGGGGAGGAGATTAATGGGTATAGTCTGTGGTATCACAACTAGTCCCTGGCCCAGTGCCCTCCTTTAGCCATCCTCATCAATAAATAAATCAAGGCCCTTGCCATTAAGAAACACAGTGGAGGGATATTAGTTGTTGTTTGCCTATTGTACTTCTCTATTGCTGAAAGCTGTTCTTATTTTTAAACAGCCTTATTGAGATACAAATTATAAACCGTGAGTGTTTAAAATATGTAACTTGATGATTTTGACACACATATACTTGTGAAACCTTCACCACAATCAAGAAAATGAACGTATCTATTTCTCCAAAGCATGCTTCATACCTCTTAGGAATCCTTCCCTCCCACTTCACATTGCCCTCTCTCTCCATCCCCGGTCAACTCAGATCTGCTTTATGTCACCATGCCCTAGTTTACATTTTCCAGAATTTATATCAAGTTACATAAATGGAGCCACATAGTTTGGACTTTTTTAAAAACAGGCTTCTATAAGTCAGAGTAATTATTTGAGATTTATCCATGCAACAAATTTCAACAGTTGCTCCTTGTTATTGCTGAGTAATACTCCTTTGTATGAAATAGAGTACAGTTTAGCCATTCAGATATTTGGTTTGTTTCTACTTTCAGCTATCACAAGTAAAGATGCTGCCAACATTCATGAGTGAGTCTTTGTAGGAACATACACCTTCTGTTCTTTTGGGCAACTACTTGGGAGTAGAATGGCTAGACTACATGGAAGGTGTCAGTTTAACTGATTAGGAGACGACTATACTGTTTTTCAATGTGGTTGTACCATTTTGCATTCCCACCAACAATGTATGAGAACTTCAGCTCTTCCATGTTGTCTCCAATACTTGGTATAGTCAGTCTTTTTAATTTTATCCATTCTGGTATGTACCAGAATGGTATCTCATTAGGGTCTTAGTTTTTAATTCCCTAATTACTAATGATGTTGAAGATCTTTCCACGTGTGAAATTGTCAGTGATGCCCATTTCTCTCAAGATCTGCTTTAAAGACCCAGTAGAACTGCTAAATTACACTAATGTCAGATCTCAGCATGCTCAAGAGTGACAACTGGCAAAGTCTGACGAAGGAAGAGATAATTTATACTCTGAAAGAATGGTGAGATTTTGCTAATTTATATAAGCATAACCTAGAATGGCAATGAATTCTAGTGTATGATGTTTTCTCCCATACTAAAAAGCATGGCTCTGGAAATCAAGATGTGAGAGTGAGAGTGGCTCTTTTTCTTTTCTTTGTTTTTAAACTCACTTTTATTGCACATATTTAAGGTATAAAACATGATGTTTTGATGTCCATATACATATTGAAATGACTGGTTCCTTTTTGTGTTATACCTAATAGCCCGCTCACAGAATTTTTGTCCTTACACCTTTGCGTTTTGCTGGTTTAGAGGTCTTAATTTCTTTTTAATATTTAAAAATTTTTTCTTTCTTTTTCTTTTTTTTTGAGACAGAGTTTCCCTTTGTTGCCCAGAGTAGAGTGCCATGGTGTCATAGCTCACAGCAACCTTAAACTTTTGGGCTCAAGCAATCCTCTAGTGTCAGCCTCCTGAGTAGCTGGGACTACGGGTACCCGCCACAATACCCAGCTAGGTTTTGTTTTTGTTTTTTAGAAATGGGGTCTTGCTCTTGCTCAGGCTGGTCTTAAATGGCTGACCTCCAGCAATCCACCTATTGGGGCCTCCCAAAGTGCTAGGATTACAGGTGTGAGCCTCTGCACTGGGCCCCAATTTTTCTATTTCTGATTGTAAATTGTCAAATTATATATATTTATGGGGTACAAAGTGATGTTATGATTTATGAATACAGTGTGGAACAATTAAGTCAAGCTAATTAACATATTTATCACTTTAATTACTTATAATTTTTTTGTAGTGAGACCACCTGAGATTTACTTTGTGAGCAAGTTTGAAATGTATGTAATTATTTACTTGTAATTACCAAGCTGTGCAATGTATCTCAAAGAAAATAAGCTTGTTCCTTCTGTATAATTGAGGTTTTGTATGCTTTGACCAGCATTTCTCCATCTCCCCTGTCCCAGCCGCTGGTAACCTTCCTTCTACTCTCTGCTTTTTAGAGTTCTATTGTTTTAGATTCCATATATATAGAAGGGAGAACATGTGGTGTCTGTCTTTCTGTGTTGGCTTATTTCACCAAGCACAATGTTCTCCAATTCCATCCATGTTGTTGCAAATGACAAGATTTCTTTTTTTTTTAAAGACTGAATAGTATTCCATTCTATAGATGTACTATGTTTTCTTTATCTAGTCATCTGTTGATGGACATTTAAGTCAACTCCATAACATGACTTTTATGAATAGTACTGCAATGAGCATGGAGGGAAGATCTCTCTTCCACATACTGATTTCAAATCTTTTGATGAATATTGAGAAGTGGGGTTGCTGGATCTAGAAGTCTTATTTCAAGTGGGAGAAATAGTTTTGTTGAATTGGAATTTAAGATCACTACCTGGTAGTTTTGAGTTCTTCATGACATTGAACTAATAGACAAAGAAGTGGATCCTTGTGTTGGCTGAAGGGATTGATCCTAATTTCCAAGCAGAAGTTATGCTGCTATGCAAAGTGAGAGGACTGTGTCTTGAATCCAGGAGGGTCTCCGGAGTGCCTTTGAGAATTTCCATGTCTAATGCTAAACTTCAGCTTTTAGAAATAAAGTTTTGAGTCAACTTAGGAGGTAAAGCACCTCAGCTACTTGAAGTACTAAGGACAAAGGGAATATGTATACAATGTGTAGCGAAAGAGGGAAGTTATAAATATTGACCACAGTCTCATTACAAATTACAGACATGGGGATTGTAGTAGCTATGCACATAATATTCCTTTTCTGTTATTTTATTTCTGTTATTCTTTGAAACAGGAGGAATTCAGTCACTGGGGGCCTTGCAGGGTTAGAAAACAAGACTGATCCTAGGTCTCAAATAAGAGATGGGATTTAAAAAAGCATTGAACAATGAAATTTTAGCAAAACATTTCAGTTAGGATAAAGTGAATGAGAGAAAAGATGAGATTAGTGGTGTGAACTTCCAATTTAAGCTTGATAGCCTCATGGTAGCTGGAGAGAGAGAAATTGAGAGTGAGAGATCCATGAACATAGTACAAGGAAGCATAAAAATAATTAGACAAGTTAAGTGTAGGAAAGAACATTTGGTTTGGTTAGTTGTGGATGGAACTGTCTGGAAGCAAAATAGTTTAGGACCCTACTAAGAAGCATATGACTTTGAAGGTACCATATTGCAAAGGAAACCACTAACCCTTAACTAATAAAGTCTTTGAATATCTGAGCTATAAAACAAACTTTGGTGTTTCAATTCCACAACGTAAGGTAGGCTTCAAAGGTAAGTTCCCAAACATCAATTTCAGATATGATCAAGGGTTGAGGAGAACCCTCTGAGGGGATGGATTCAGGGTCCAGAGAACAAAGGGCAAAGCAATTCATCTCAGAGAGCAGAATTAGGGCCTCAGCTAAAACTCCCTACTAGGCTCAGAGTCAGAACTTCACA